GCCGGCCTCAGCGGACGGCGGCTATGATCGGGGCCACGTGAGAACAGCGAGGTGGAGACGCACACCCCGAGTTCAAGGTCAAGCCAGATGACGCCGCAAAGGCAGTGGCGAGCCTGCTGCTCGTGGCGCGTCGCTCTCGCGGGGGCACAGGCGAGGCCACTCGGCGCGCGGCTCACCACGCGGGTGGCAGGGACGAGGCCCTCGGCGGGCCCCGGAGGGGCGTGGCAGGCCAGCTGGGCCAGCCCGTCTGTCCTCAGCACCGCCTCTAGCAGCTTCTCACGCGTGGCCTAAAGCTGACCGGGCGCCCGGTGGCTGGCTGGGGCGCCGAGCTTGGTGGACGGTGGCGACCGGTCCCCCGGGCAGCCCTGTGTCGGCCACACACGTACACAGCAGCTGGAAGGGCCCCGACTGCCTCCCAGGGAGACGCCAGGTGGCAGCGGGTGGCAGGCAAGCGGCCACCGGTTGAGGCCGGAGGTTCAGAGGTGGCCGCCACGCAGAGCTGCCCGTGGGCCAGGGATGCCCAGGGCCAGGCCGGGCTCACCCACCCGGGACAGCGGCGTGGGAGGCGAGAAAAATAAAAATGCTTCTGACTTTGTCGAGAACGTGGGACCTCATTTAAAGGGTCTTAACTCCCTCGGCCCCCTTTTGAGCACCGAGTTAAAATCATCTTGTTCTGGGGGATTCTGGACACACCAGGGCCATTGGCGGCACAGCGAGACCCGCACACCTGTGAGGGGGCCTTGAACGTGGCCGCCTCGTCTCTCCAGGGCCCCCCATGCTCTGACCACACAGCCTCCCTGCACGCGCTGACCACCGTGCCAGCCTTAGCTCAGTCCTCGTCAATGAAGATTCTTTATCACGACCAAGTTCCCTCAAGCTTCTTCCCAGTCATCCAGCTGCTCGGCCCCAGGTAACCAACTTCTGGATTTTGTTCAGCCTGGTCACTTGGAGTCTTCCAGGCCCGTGTGGTCAGGCTTGCTCTCTGCTGTGTCCAGCTGCCTTCCCTCGGCAGACCTGGCTGGGCCTCAGCACAGACCCTAGACAGACAGCTGCCTCGCTGCTGAGCCCACCCCTATGGTCTGCACACTGCTCCCACCCTTGCGTGGCGTGGGGCCCTCCAGGGCTCCTAAGTTTGGGTCACTACTTACACAGCAGGAAGGTCTGCAGCTTCGCTCTTTAGCAAAGTTGTCCTGACTTGCTGCTTTTTCACATCCAGTGTTGGGACCTGCCAACGTCTATGAAAGCCTGTGGGGATAACGGTCAGGTTGGTTTAGCGTTTGCGTTTCAGAGAACTGACGTCTTAACAGGATTCACCGATCCATGAACATAGTATACACGTCCACGCTTCTATACGACACATTTCTTCTCGTTCTCAACTTGCACATTGTATATAAATTTCAATTTTATTTTTTTATGCTATTGGAAGTATTTTTTTCAGTTTCTTCCATTTGCTTGCAGAATTTTGGGAAAAGATCGTACCTTTTGCACTTTGATGTTACAGACCCAGCCTTGCTGACGTCATGTCATACATAGCTCCATGGCTTTTTCTTGTGACTAGAAATTCTGTCATGTGCAGTCCAGCTGCCGGCAGATAAAGACAACCTTCCTGGATTTTACTGTAGAGACTAGCAGGTCAGACTGCAGACACAGGGTGTGCCCACTCTTGAGTGCTGGTCGGCTCTACTCTCTTTATTCCTCGTTTGCGAGAGGCTATTCTAATGAGCGAGCCCTGCCCGCCTTCAGAGGCTTCCAGGTCGGCTGAGACGACCTCCCTCATTTTCTCCTTTATTAGCTTCCGTGGCACCGACCCAGCCTTGCATCCCTGGGGAGCCCTGGCCCAGGCTGGGTCTCCCTGTGACCTTTGCCGAGGGTCCCTCTGCACCCAGCTCACGAGGGAAAGGACTTAGAGAGCGCCCTGTCAGGTTCTGGCGGAAGGGCTACGGTACAAGCTTCAATCCGGCTACTTCAGCTTCACCACACTTGTCCTGCTGCGGACAGGGAAAGGCAGGAGTGACGGCGCATCTTTAGTCATGGGCACCGCTGGGCAGGGGCCGGACAGAACTGGAACTGGCCGAGCACTGAAGGCAGCTCTGGGGCCCTCCAGCTCCGCCCTCTAAGGAATGTCTCCTCACCTTCTCAGGCATGTTTGGGTCCATCAGTTTTCCGTGATGATGGGAATCAAGCAGGACTTTTGGGGAACTAAATCTAGATGACAGTGAAGCTAAAGCCCAGCAAATTCCACGTGTGGCAAACGGCATCTTACAGGCGCCTGAAGGGTGAGCTCACGGGGCACCATGAGCTGGACGCGTGTCTCAGGGTGCGCCACGTGGGCACGGGGCCGGAGGTCAGCACACCCGGCCAGAGCCAGCCAGAGCCCCGGTCTGACTCTGACGGGGGCACGACCTGGGGCCCTGTGCAGGGGATGGGGCCGGCGGGCAGCCGCATGGGAAGAAGAGGCGCGGTGGGGACGGAGCCGGGGAGGAGGGGAGCTCCCGGGGCCAGCAGCTCAGCCACAGCGTCTTGGCAAACCGGGGAGGTCGGGGCCCCCACTCTTTGGCCCACAGGCCGCCGGCTCCGGGCCCGTAGCGGCCGCATCTTGCCGGCCCTTGCGGAGCGAGGCGCGGAGCAGCTGCTCACTAGAGAGCGTGGTCACTGGGGGCCCCTCCGGCCCAGCTCCCGCCCTGCCGTGGCGGGCTCCACCTTCCTGCCCGCGTCCAGGTGAGGACACCAGCAAGCTGACCTGATCAAGTCCTCAGACTCCCGGTCGCATCGGGCACTCCCCGTGCTGGGCGGCGGGGCAGGGCCACGTCTGCGGTCAGGGGACCTGGGGCGAGGCCTCACCACCGGCCGCGGGGCCCCGCCCACACCCACTGCCAGCGTCGCTGTGAACAGGGGGGTCAGCTGAGCCC